TACAAAAATTGTTTTTTCGTTAAAATGATTGCCTACTTTTTGCATTGTGCAATCTTCAAACTCAGAAAACTTTTTTAATATATACATATATATATAAAGGGAACAAAGTAAGAAATTACTAGAAAAATTAACAATTAGTTGTTTTTAATAAAACACATTTTTAGTTCCATTTAATTTACCTACAATACAAAGTTTTCTTTAACTTTAAACATTTTACCTTTTGATAAATTTGGAATCACTGTGCGGCTTCGACGCGCGTGCTTAGCGTCACAAAAGGATATAAAACGGGAAACTGGCAGCAGCGGCAGGAACAACAACTACAACGACAGGCAGGAACCAGGAAAAAAGCATAAATAATCTTGTAGCTGCTGTCGCAGCTGGGGCAAAGCGGAGCTCGAATTGAAATTTTTTGAGAAATTGTATTAGAGAAATGCTTTGTGAAATCACACGAGACACAGGACGAACATGTATGCGTGTGAGTGTGCGTTTGTGTGCCTATGGAATATGAAATGACAGGAGGAGGAGAAGGGGAGAAGTGAGAATGTGAAAAAAGGGGACGCAAATTATGGCGGTTCTCCGTGTGTTCTTCGTCAGCGACGTCATCGACAGTTGTTGTTTTTGTTCCTGCAGTTGTTGTTGTTGGTTCCTGTTTTCGCTTTTTACCGTTCAGTCAATGACCACATTGTGTACACAACTGCAATGTGAGTATGTGTGTGAGTATTGCCTGCCGGAAGTTGAAGCCGCCGCCTGGACATTCTCGCTGCCTTGGTGCAAGCTCTTTCTCTATTTCGTCCTTTTTCGTTCGCTCTCTCGCGGTCTTTACGTTATGCCTGAGCTGCTTTGAAGAAACAAGTTTTACGGATCCTTGGACACCGCGCCACTTTTGGTTTTTTTTTGCCCAGTTCCTTCCGTGTGCAGTGTGACCATTCTTTTGTGCTCTGGTCACGCTTTGATCACACCGTTCGCCGATAACCGCTCTCTCAAGCTCCATTTTTCTAAAGGCGTTGCCCGACTAATGACATGTTGTAAATTATACTACTCCGCGGCATTCCTTTTGCCGTTTTATGCGGCTGTAATTACTCAGCCCGGTTTCCTTTTCTCCTTGTATCTCTTTCTCTCTCCCTCTGCTGTATTATAATATTCTTCCTTTTGTATTGGTTTTTGTATGGGTTTTCTGATTACAGGATGGGGGAAGCTTGTTATCGAAACGCTATCACGTAATTGCTCGTTGCAGTTATCCTTCGCTGTTGCAGATGTGCTAATTTGTATTCTAGAAACTCGTGTTCCATTAAATTGTACATTAAAAAGGAATTGATATGCCATTCTTTTAATGCTTTGGGGAATTAAAGTCATTAAAAGTAATAAGCCATAGAATATCCTATTACTAGAATGGTGGGCTATAACATTTTGATAATCTTAACTTTGTTTTGACCATACTCTGTTTAACCTGAAGAAATTTTGTAATGTATATAAAGGGACTTACTGTTTCTTTAGGCGTACACTGTATTTATATTATTTGTAAATCATTATTAGCCTATTTAATACAAGATTTTTTGATCGCGCCCAGCCTACTTGCTAGAAATCTACTTTCTACCACTGAGCCGTCTTAAACGAGAAGTTTCGCCATACAAATTAGGAGTCAGCAAGGCTGCCATATCCACATTTTTAAAGCATTTCAGTAATTAAGGTTTGGTTTATTTTCTATTTGTGTTCAATCTACTGTTAAGGTATTTTTAAGATTTACCGATTCTTAACTTAATAAATGATTATGGTAAAAAAAAATTGATCCGCACCTTTTGTGATCAGCCTAAAACTATCCATCTAGCGTGAATATTTGTTTATATTTACTTACTTTACTTTATTTACTAGTTTCTATAAAGTGGTTCGTTTAATCTATTATAGCAAATGCAAATAAACAAAACATTGTGCTATAAAGATAATTAATCTGATATGGGTTCAATTCCTGTTTGTTGCTTTTGCAATGATTTCAAAAAATATGAAATCATTAAATATTCGGCACGTGAAGCCTTCTCAAGTAAGTGTATCCTTCGAACCCGTCTCAAGTGGATCCTCAAACTCTAACCTTTGCCACTGTCGTTTACCTACGAACGATCGCATGCGATCCGAGATCCGCAAGCCCTAGATTAGGTCCTCGCACGTATATCCGAAATCCACGTCAGGACAATGCATAATGAGGATTAAGTCCTTTGCGATTTCTCAAAGTACTTAGTGAGATGTTGAGAGAGAATTTGCAAATGGAAGTCCGTCCCGACCCCAAAAGAGAGAGTTTCCAAAGGCGAATGCATTTTTATTTTCGCCACATTTGCTTTTCGCATTGAAACAAAAGAGCAGGAAAAATAGTATTGGTCGGCGAACGGATGGATGGAGGAAAAGAGGAGCGTTTAAAACTGCCAGTTTTCCATTTCTGCCATCATTTCCCTATCCACAATTATCCTGTCAAACTTGTTTGTGCCGTCTGCCTCTTGCTCTACACCAAATTTCCTTTCGCATTATGCTTTGACCAGAGCATTCGCATTAAAAGGACAACGCTCTCATGTAACGTGAGTGTGTGTGTGCGTGCGTGTGTCTGAGAGAGTGTGCGAAGGATGAGCGAGTTCATTCGACGCCTGCGTCGCCATCGTCCTGGCATCGAATTGCCGTTCAGTCAACGCTTGCCGCTCAGACCGCTCAGACATGTCGCGCCCGTCGTGAGTGCATTTAGTTAACTATTCATATATATATATACAAATATATATATACACATCCTTTAAAAGAGAGAGAGCAGCAGCCACCAAGTCAAAGACTATAAAACGCAAAACAACGACGCCATCAGATGTTGCAGAATAACCTAAAATAAAATAATTAAACCAACTAAACCAAAGCTAAATCATTCTACAAGAATTACAAAACAAATAAAAGTGCGCTTCAAGTGTTTCGTATCAAATTGTGCAAGTTAGTTACAGCTAAAAGGAGCTAAAGTTTCATATACAAATACACAATCAAATAATGTGCAATAAACTAAAACTCAATACAAACAAAAGCAACGAAGCAGCAACTAAAACGGCAACATCAAGCAAGCGTTACTCATATAGTCAAACAAGTACATTTGCATTTTGTTGGGACTTACGCACGGAGAGCCTCAAATAAATTAGAGAAGCAGAAAAAAAAAGAAAATCCCATCGAAGCACATCACAAGTGAGTTCCAAATTTCGTCCTTTCACAAACACACTCACATATTCGTAAACACACACACACACACACATAAATACAGAACTACTCGCTGCCAAAAATCCCCTTTGTAGCGAGTATGTCCTGCCCGCTCCTTTGCATTAAGTCTCTCGCTACTTTTATCCCATATTCGCTCTCTTTTTCGTAACTAGCAAATAGTTTTGCGCACTCGTCATCACCCTTCCCCCCCTTACCCCTCCACATCTCCCTTCATCGTCGACTCGGCTCTCGTTCTCTTTTTCCCTGTGGTCTCGCTCTCTGTAAAATTATCGGGTGGTGGTACAGTTTTCTGCGTGGCCGAAAAATTGCGTAAATTTTCATCTAGTTCTCTGGGATGTCTCGCACAGCGTTGTCCTCGTTATTGTTATCCTTGCTACTCATCCGGCCTGCAGAACTTTTCGTCTGCATGTACGGAAAATAAGAAAAACAAACGGAAAACAATTGGTATTCACTGGGAAAAAAGATGTCCCCGGATTTGTGTCATTTGCTTATTGGGCGTTTTCAATCCCTTTAAATGACTTGCCACGGGGATAACGGTCCGTCCTGGCACTCAATAATTAATTATCCACTTCAGTTTGATTTATTGCGATTTCTTTTTTATACGTATACAGAAATACAGATAGCGAAATTTGGCCATTAAGCATGACTTATGTATTTGTTTTGATGCTTTATACTTATAAATGTAATATAACCTAAAATTATTATTTTTACATAAAAGAATAATAAAGATAATGAAAATAAATATAAAAATTATTTCATTGATAAACCAATTTGTTTGAGGTTTTTGGTATCCTTAATAAAATTAAACTTAACAATATTTTCAATAAACAATTAAAAGCGTTGACCATTTGAAATTGACATCGGAGTTTCGATTTACCGAATATTGAGATTTCAGTAACTTTAAATCGATAACATTTACTTTTGTCGGACATAAACCGAATATATTTCAATAATATGCAAGAATGTTGATCATATATTAATGGTACCTATAAGTGCAAGTGCTAAATTTATAAGTACAATCAAATTGGAAATATTTATGTATTTTATTTTATAAACCATTTTAAGTTAACATTAATAATGTATTAAATGGTTATTTAATAATCAGTCTGAGTATCCTATAGTCGTTTCAGTGTTTTATTATTTATGATCTACTAAATTTACCCATTATTTTCATATCTTATTTTGTTTAAAAAACTCTACAGCATTTCATAATAATTTAAATTCAATGAATTTGTCATTTTCAGCCTATACAAACATTATTTCTCTTTAACCCATTTTTTCCTTAACACCTAGCTTTTCAGCCGGTTTTGCATGAAATTCGATATACTTTATTCAAATTCCATTTTTTCCTCGTAGTTTGTAAGGTTTTCAAATGAACGATCGTTGCACTTTTTATGGGTTCCTATGGGTTATTATGGGTCCTGCTTGCTAGCACAGGCGGAAAACCACTCGAAAGGCAGTCACACAGGGGCAGGGGCAACGGCACTGCATATCCTGCCAGCCTCTATTCTCCTGCCAGTCGGTCGGTCTGCCTGCTGTTGTTGCTGCCTCGCCCATTTAAAACAAAACAAAAAAAAAACCTCGAAAAGTTGCAGCTGTTCCTTCAGCGCTCCTTCTCTGTTTGTTTTGTGGTAGGCAGCCCAGCGATCCGATCCGATCCCATCTGATCGTTGAGCGTTTGGCAGCAACGGGGCAGGCAGACGGGCTAGGCATCTGCCGGGGATTAAAGAGCTGCACGGGAGTAATAGGTTTTAATACTGCTTCTATCACAGTTCCAGATCGAGGACTCCGAGAGAATTGTGTCTCGAAGAGTAGTAAAGCCGGAAAGTCAGAACGAAGCGATATAGAAACGGTGACGAAAAATGAAAATGTCTGAGGTGCCACGTATTATGGTCTTTCGACCCACTTGGGAGGAGTTCAAAGACTTTCCCAAGTATGTTGCTTACATGGAATCGCAGGGCGCTCACAAAGCCGGTCTGGCCAAAGTGGTTCCTCCACCAGAATGGGTGCCCCGTCGCAGTGGGTACGCCGATCTGGATGCGTTGAATGTCACGATACCGGCACCCATCTGCCAGGTGGTCACCGGCAAACAGGGCTACTACCAACAGATTAATATTCAGAAAAAGCCACTCACAGTTAAACAGTTCAGTGACCTGGCCAGCACTGAGCGTTATGCTACACCTAAACACTTTGACTTTGAGGATCTGGAGCGCAAGTACTGGAAGAACATAACATATGTGGCGCCCATTTACGGGGCAGATGTCAGCGGGAGCATCACAGACGCCGACCAGGATGTAAGTTGATAGGGGTTGGGGTTTTGGGTTGCCGTTCCCCGTTGACGATTCGTTGCCTTTGCCGTTGCAGAGCTGGAACATCAACCGGCTGGGCACCATCCTAGACTATGTGAACAAGGACTACAATATCCAGATTGACGGTGTGAACACAGCATACTTGTACTTTGGCATGTGGAAGACTACTTTTGCATGGCACACAGAGGACATGGACCTGTACTCGATCAATTACCTGCACTTTGGAGCGCCAAAGACGTGGTACGTGGTACCGCCCGAGTGTGGCCGTAAGCTGGAGAAGGTTGCCAATCAGTATTTTCCTGCCAGCTACAAGAACTGTAACGCTTACTTGCGCCACAAAATGACGCTCATCTCACCACAAATCCTCAAGCATCACGACGTTCCCGTCAGTAAGGTGTGTTTTTCAGTTGTATTCCTGTCCAAGTGGTCATATTAAATCCGGCTCTTGCAGATCACGCAGGAGGCGGGCGAGATTATGATAACGTTTCCATTCGGCTATCATGCCGGCTTCAACCACGGCTTCAACTGTGCCGAGTCCACAAACTTTGCTATGGAACGCTGGATTGAGTACGGCAAGCGGGCGGTGCAGTGCACCTGCAGCAATGATATGGTCAAAATCTCAATGGACACATTTGTCAAGCGCTTTCAAAGCGACCGCTACGAACTGTGGATGGAGGGGCGTGACTTGGGGCGTCATCCGGAAGACCCGGCGAATGGGGTGCCTAGCGCCGCTCCCCTTCCACCACATCTCGATGTCTTGCTATGTGATAAAAAGTAGGTTTCCTTGTGCTCAGTGGGTCTTGTAGGGTATCTTAATCCTGTGTCCTGCTCCTCCCCAGAATGAAAAAGCAATGCAACCCAACCAAGACCAAGAGCTTTAAGGAGCGTAATCCTGATCTGGATCTGGATGAAATCCAACAGAATCCCAACGTACCCGACGATGTCAAGGCCATGCTGAAAGAGAGCGTTCTCACGCTGGACACCGGTGATCTGGCCACTGAAGAGGGCGACTTTCCCAACGAGGATGCAATGAGTCCGGCGGACCTGAAGACTAAGCAGGAACTGCTCGAGTACATAGACGACGGCACAGGTGTGTGGGCCGGCAGGTGCCCTTGAAAATCGACCCCTTTCAGTTGAACTCTAATGTCTTCCTTTTCTTGCTTTTGTTCTGTCTTCCATTTCTTTTGCTTGTTGAATCTTCCTGTTAATAGAAGACGATGACGAGGAGGAGGACTTCAAGCGACGCAAGCAGAAGCGTCGGTATGATGCTGATTATGACGATGACTGGCTGGCGTCCAAGCGTAAGACCCACTCGCGAAATAGTAGTCGAGGTCGTAGTCCGCGCACCAAGGACGACCGTTCCATATCGCCTGCATCCTCGACGTCATCGACATCGCGTGGGGCGAGACGTGGCAAGGCCAGTGGAACGCCCCGAAAGACAGCGGGAAGACGGAAAAAGGAGACGAATGTCACTCCTCCGGCGGCAGCAACTTTTGCTGCCGCAACACCACCCATGGCAGCAGTGGCTGTTGCAACGACAACACAACAAAACACAACAGCAGCAGCAGCAGCAGATGGCGGAGGAGGTGAGAGCAGCAGCTTAAGCAGCCACTGCACCACTGCATCCACATAATCACATCTTCACCTGACCACCTCCAAGCCATCCATGCAATACCCCCTTAACCCAATGTCTCTCCTTTAGCAACATCATTTCATGTTCCACAGCTATTTGCTTCTAACAAAATTCGAGTTTTAAAGCCGTTTGACAAGCATTTCATCGTTTTGTTTTGTGTTTTAATGTACAAATAAACCGTCTAGTTTGTTAAAATTATAAGAGTGAGCCAGATAAATATACGATCACGCTTTTAAGTCAATGCTAAAAACTAACCAAAAACCAAAACTGTTTTACTAAAACGTATCCGAAGGTGTTGGTGCTGCCTGGGCCTGTTCTGTTCTTGCCGTTCTTGTTTTGCTGCCTTAGAATCTGCTTCACTTTCTCTTTCGCTTTGACAACTCACCTCCATCCCACCCAATTGCAATGCCTCCCCCAAAAAACCCCGAGTCCACATATGTGTGTGTGTTTGTGTGTACACCAACAAAGAATATTATCAACTGCATTTAATCACAATCAATGAAAAACGAGACTCGATCACGAACTAAACTGTACCGATTGACGTTTTTCAGATGCCAAAAAGGAGCAACAGAAACTGCAGTTTATGCAAAAGTCTCGTAAATTTGAGGGCAAGATACCAAAACTAAGTCATACGAGCTCCACAGCAGCAGCAGCAGGAGGAGCAGAAGAAGCATCAACAGAAGCATCCACATCCAAGTCTAGTCAAGAGCAGCAGCAACAGATTGTCTACGTCAACATGTTGCCCGCGGCCAATACCCTAAATGGCATTCCACAGCAGCAGCAGCAGCAACAATACGGCAGCACGGACGGAAGTGTCTATCAGCTGCAAAATGAAATACTCTGTGATGCAAACGGACATGCCGTGACTGCCGCCACGGCAACATATCAAACTACGGCCAGCAGTCCACAGCAGCAGCAGCAGCAACAGCAACAGAATGTTGCAACCAGTGTAGCCGGTAAGTGTCAGCCTTGAATTTGTTCGCTTTATGTTTATTTGTTTGTTGGTTGTAGTCTTTGTGTATGGTTTAACCCTCTTGTGTACTCGAATTTGGTGTTTCAGTTAATGCTATTACCACTAACCGCTCTCATTGTAAATACAACTCACACAATTTTTATTTTGATCGTCATCCGAATTGGCCAAATTCGAATTCAATCAAACGTTTCGTTTTGTAAGTGTCTCACAATATTAATCCATCATGTCATCCATTCCACTCCATCTTGTCATCCGTCATTAATAACTGCAAATTTAATTTATATTAACGTTTTGTGCCAAAATTCAATCGCGGCATTGAGGTGATAATGTTTCGAATAAGAAAAAACAAAGAATTTGACTTCCATTTGCCGTGTTCTTGTCAGACCTTCGCCCCTCCCAATAAAAAAAGAAATAAAGAAAAAAAGAAAAAAAGAAAAAGGCGAAAAACTCTTCTATTAACCACCACCGACCCATATCAGAAAATCAAAATCAAAACGCATCACCCAATTAATAACAACTACCGCTTTCCCGTACACTACATGCTCGCCTTTAATTTGCGACACCCTTTCCAAGGTCTGTGTCCGTCCCGAATATTGTCGTGAATATTGGATATATCACATAATAAATAAATGCACAAATCATTTTAACTGAGAAAGCTTCGTGCAAAGCGCGTCGAAAAAGGCTCAAAAATTGTTGATCACATATTTTATTTTATTTTATTAGCTATAGTTTAAGATTTTGCAATTCAATTTTTGGCGCCTAACATTGGATAAGTGTGACCAGTGCTGCCCATCGGAAAGCCTTAGTGCTGCCCATGCGCGCGCTAAAGATAGGCAGCATAATTTGGGCGCCAAATTTGAAAAATAATTTTTATACCTATTAGATTTGCGTTTATGATTTAGTTATTTTTAGTAATGACACTATCCTTCTCTTCTACCTTTCAATTATTGTTTCCCACACAATATACGATACGATATACGTACACTCCGTTCTCAGCTCCTTCCCAAATGGAGGAGTCTGACCAACGATGGCCAACAACAAACACACCCGTTTCATCCTATTTATTCTGTCCTCTAATTATTAATCAAGTCGATTATTTATTTAATTTTATTTCGTACGTATTGAGTTGCGAGTACTGTACCAGAGTTACGATTACGATTGCTGTAAAGTAGATCTAAGTAAACACAAATTCTACCGACAAACAAAAACCAATTCACTCACGTTCTAACTATATATATATATATCTTATATTGCTGTATCGTATCGATTCGATCAAGAGGCCCGTGTAAGTGCAACAGATGCAACCCATTTGTGGCACTTACATATATAAATATGATGTTGGCCGCAATTAGCTTTCATTTTGCACTACATTTGTTTTCTATGAACCTGATTTGAGTGAATTGTTGATTGATTTCGATTTCAATTACGAATTAATTTATTGATTTATGCAAATATTACATTCAAACACATCTTTTATGAACCGAACCAAATATGTATTTTCAAAAAATATATAAACAAAAGACAATGTGGTCACAACTATTAGTTCGTCCTCCATCCTGCACACGAACGCCAACACCAACGGAGTGGACACGATCACCGCCACCCACGCCCAGCAACAGCAGCAGCCACATTATCACTACATCACCACCACCGGCGAGGATGGACAAACACCGACCACCATAGTGTTCGAGAACTACAACGGCGGAATGCCAGCGGTCAGTTCTGCCGCACCAACGCCCGTTCCCGTGTCGCAAGGCAACTCAGCCGCAACCACGACAACCACGGCCCTGGTCAACACGGACGGAACGATCATCGAGTTCGATGGAAACACCTACGAGGAGTACCATGTTCTCAAAAGCGAGCCCGGTAGCAGCGATTGCCTGAGTAATGGCAGCAGTGCCGTGGCCGCCGACATTATCAAATACGAGCCCCAGCACGGTATCGTCGGTGATGATGAGGAAGACGAGGAGAACCTGCTGCAGGTCAAGTACGAGGAACAGAGTCTTGAGCACGATCCGGAGAATGATCCGGACCAGGAGAACGATTACGAAGAGTTCCAAGTAATGAAGGCTGAAGTGGAGGCCGAGGCGGCGGAGCTAGCAGCCGGCACCACCAGCTATACGGTTAGTCAGGAACAACCGGGCTCAGGCACCACGTTGGTCTCCGCGATGGTGCCCAAGTCGGGATCAGCGGCCGCTGCCAAGCAGAAACGCAAGCGCAAGACTCGTGTTATCGCCGACGATGAACAGGGCGAGTACCTGGAGAAGATGAGTGTGCGTGGTCTGGACATTGCCCGCTACGAGCACATCATCGACGGCGTGGCATACTGCCTGGTCTGCGCCAAGAACGATATCTTCAAGACGTTCAAGAACAAGTACAGCTTCCAGCGACACGCCTACCTCTTCCACGAGGGCCAAAACCGCAAGATATTCGCCTGCCCCATCTGTAACAAGGAATTCTCTCGTCCCGACAAGATGAAGATGCACAAGAAGGACAAGCACGGCGATGTGCCCATGCCACCGTCGGCTACTACGACGCCGCTCAAGGCTGAGGGTCCGCCAGCGAAACGAGCGCGTACCGCCCGCACTCCGCGAGTTCGGAAGACCAAGGGTGGTGATGGCAGCACGCCAGCCAAAAAGAGGCTGGCTCAGATCGACAGTGTGCTGGATGATGTACAGAATGGCGAGTCTCTGACCTTGGCACCTGTCAGTGTGAGCCACTCTCAGCAGCAACAACCACAGATGCAGCACAGCTTGACCACCACGCTAGCTCCAACGACGCCTTCGCAGCCCCAACATCAACTGCAGACTCTACCCTCGTTGGACTTCAGTGGAATGATCCTGCCCGGAGGGGCCCAGCTGGCACTGGCCAATCCGGGGGCCACCAGTTCCGTTGGATTGCAGCGAGGACCGGCGACGCCAAATGGCGGTCAACCGACGGCGCCGACAACTACATTAATCTACTCGAATCAACTGGAGCTTCAACAGGCGCTGTTACAACAACAACTGCACGGTCAGAGCATCATGATCCAGGATCAGGCTGGGAACCTTGTGCCACTACAATTGGACGGCACTCAGGCGATATACACGACGGCGCCGCAGGCTCAGCGCCAGCAACCGACGGCGACCACATATCAGACGACCCAGCAACCGCAACAGCAACCCCAACAGCCTGCCACACAGGCGCAACAGCAGCAGCCGCACTACGAGCTGGACAATGTGACCTATCTAAGCTCCACCGCGGCGGCTACTCCAGCTGCAGCTGAACAACAGCAACAACAACAGCAGCAGCAACAGCATGTGATCGGTACGGTACAGAGCTACCAGATCCTGACGCCCGACGGCCTGCAGAACTTCCAACCCAAATTGGAATCTGCCGAACTGGGCGACCTATGTCCTTACTCTCAGTACACTTTCACCACGCACGCCGGCGCGCAGCCCACGCTAAATGCGAACGCGCTGGACGCGCAGAATCAGCATCAGCAGCACCACCAACAACAGCAGCAACAACACCACCAGCAACAACACCATCAGCAGACGCAACTACTGCAGCAACAGCCCTTCGCCACGCACCACAATCCGCACCAGCAGTTCATGGAGCTGAAGAACGAGCTGCTGATCAAGGGCGGCGATGCTTATGCCTTGGACACCGCCTCCATGTACCACCTGCCCTTCTCGCCCACCTCGATGATCAATGCGGTGAACGATGTGAACACCTCGTCCCTGCTGGAAACCAAAGAAATTAGGTAAACGTTCTTTTCAACTAACCAAAAGCCCACTTAGTCCACTCCCACCTCTGTCTTCCCCGACTGCTCTTAGTGTAACGCGCTCGATTAGATTGCCGCTCTTTAACTGTATCTGTACTATATCTATATATATATATATATATCTCTCTCTGTATCTGTATCTATAACTCTATCGATATTGCTAACTTCTGCCTTCGTAATCCATTCGATGCGTTTGCGACGCTGATCTTCCTTTCACGTATTTTGAGACGCGCAACGAGGGTGTACATGAAAAACACTCAAAAACACCCGATGGCCGCCATCAAAAAACACATAAACTCAATATCAGGGGGAAAGGGGGTTACATTAAGCATTATCTTGTTTAGTTTTTAATTAGAATTATGCATACTTTAGTTATATTTTGTACTCATTCATTATGTAAAACCATATTTATTTGTATTATTTTGTAGCCTTTAACAGAAGTTTTCAGTTTTTTGTATCTTAGTCGTATGAATTAATATTTGTGCATTTATTTATTTATTTATTTATGAAATCATAAACCCACTGAGGTATTGCACTCTATTTCGAATAGATTGTTCCTTGTGTGGCTTGTTGTTGCTTTCTTGTATAATGATATGCCAACGATTACCTCCGAAAATTAGAATTAATCAAATTGAATAACCAAAACTCGTTTACTTTTTGTTTCGAGAAAATACTTGTGTTCAAATACGTTTTATACTCCAATGCAATTTTGTTCTTTTTCTTTCTTTTTCTCTTGTTTTATTTTATGTACACACAACCAATCCACCAACCAACCAATCAATCAATCAATCAATCAAACAATCAATCAATCAATACAACAACCCAACAATATAACACTCAAAACACGATTTATAACTATAGCTACGATATATCAGAGGCCGTGCTATTAGCTCTCTGAGAAATCTGACCGCCACAGAAAGCTGCAGCCAAAGTACCAAAAATTCTATCTAACGAATAAACAAAAGAAAACTCAGCTCTGAGTTCGCAACGAAAGAGAAAAAACGATGAGCTAATGAGAAAACCTTAACCATGATCCTTTCCAATCAAAAGCCACGCAAATGGAAGTCATTTTCAAATGTTTGCCGAGATCAGCGGTCAAACAAGTCTAAATCCAGAACCGAACTAACTTATCGAACATTAGAGTACTTACATTCGTCACATTACATAATACTCCAACTTGCTTGAGGAGATCTCGTCTAAATCATTGATTCATTCATTTCTTCATCATCATCACATGTTGTTGTGAGTGTGAGTGTTTGTGTGTGTGAGTGTGCAAGAGCAGCACCGACCGACAAGCCAACATTCAAAGAGACAAGCAAACAAACAATGATCTCCAACACACTCAGTACAAACAAAACACAAAAATAAAAGAAATATATAATATAAATATACAAAATTATAATATTGGACAATTAGTGAAAGGTATGTGTACTTTTGTTTATTCGCTTTATTTCTTTGTTTTTTATTTTTTGTTTTCCATAACACTTTTATGTTTTGTTATTAACAAAAGTCCCCATGGGTTAGAGCATCCTTATAAGAATTGGTCCTTTAACTCACCATGAAAAAAATTGAGGACTGCCTGCACAGATTTTTATATGTTTTAAGAAGTGGAGGCAATAACCTGGCCACTGACAATCAGAGATCCCCCCACATGCATCCACACACAACTTTATTCGATCCAATTAAGCTATCAGTCATAAGTGTCCTTATCATTTACTAACCAAAATTAACTTTGATTTAAGCATATCTAAAAACTAAATTAAAAAAAAACAAAGCCAAATTAAATAAACAAACCAAAAACTAACACCAATCAAAAGAAGAATCAAGCAAATATGCTAATCAAATTTTTTATTTTTTCTTTTTTCACCCAACAAACATTTTACGTTCGTCTGTTGTTTGTGTTTTTGTGTTATTCCCTATGATTTGCACACAAAAATTCATTATCATGCGACACAAACAACAACAACCACATCATCTACAACAACAACAACAACAACAACAGGTTCTTCTAAACACAACAACCACCAAACGTTCAAGCGGCCATACAACAACACCACACCCAGCAATCACAGAACCCCGAACACTACTATCAACAACAACAATCCAAATCCAAGTCAGAATCACAATCAAAGTATCAAGAACACAACACTCGAAGATTCGCAGCGTCGCCAAGTGGAAGCGAATCGCATTTACTACGAAGAAATCATCGTCAAACAGGCGAATGCCCGTGCCCTCCAAGCCGATAGCAACAAAAGTTGCAGCGGCAGCAGCAACATCACCATCAGCAGCAGCAACAGCAGTTTCGTCGACAAGTTCGCTGACTTTGTTAGCCATTCGAGCCAAACTTCTCCCATGCCCAATCCCCATATCCAGTCCCATGTGTTGCCGACTCCCACAAGTAATGCTACTAATGCAATCCTTCCTCCCAACATCAACAGCAGCAGCAGCAGCGGCAACACCACTAGCAACACTGCCACCGACAACAACGTGAGCAGCAGCGCTAGCAATGGCCTCAAGCCACCGGCCAAGAAGACGCCTGTCATCCTGCTGGCTCGTGGTGCCGCCAAACAGCCGCAGCTCAGCATTCTTAATGGCAATACTAAGGCCGGAACAGGAAATGGAACCGGTGGCGTCACATTGGTGCGCGTCAATGCCTCCAACCGTAATCAGCGCCAAGTTATCGTAGCCCCGGAAGTAGCCACTGTAGAGCAGCAGCAACAGCCTGCGGCCGAAGAGGAACTACTGGCCGATGGCGAGGAAATCGACGAGGACCTGGACGAAGATGCAGTGGCCCTAGGTGCACTATCCTCCTCGACTGCCCAGATCTTGCGAAAATTCCGCATACCCAAGGGCACGGCCGTGACGGCCAAGTCGGGGGACAACTACCTGGCCATGCCTACTCCTACGCCATCGCCGCCAGGCGTCGTCAATTTGGTTAGCTCCGGCGTTGAGGCTTCCGGGTATGTAGAGAACGAAGAGGACATCATAGAAGAGCTGAACGAGGACGATCTGGTCGAGGAGATTATTGACGAGGAGCACAGTCAGGATCAGCCGGAGTTGCAGGAGGCGTCGACCACTGATGGCCTCGACCTGAGCAGCACAAACAACACGTCGGCCCCGACGGCAGCCACCATGCTGTTGGCTCCCCAACCGCCACCGCTGCAGCTACAAACAGTGGCCTCCAATGGCACTGTGACTTGCTTTAATCTACCGGCCAACACCATCCTGCTGCAGTCGGCGGATGGCAGCATAATCGCTGCCACCCAAGTACCACATCCCAGCAAGGCTGGTCAACAGCAGTTGATAGCTTTGCCGGGTAACGTTGCCCTGGCCACCGAACCAGCCGCGCAGGCGCAGCCAACAGCAGCGCCTCAAGCCACGCAGACTCTGATCCTTACTGCCGATGGCACGGCCATCCCCATCCTGGCGACCACTCCCCAGCAGCAACAACAACAGCAGCAGCAACAACAACAGCAACAGGCTGCCGCTGCTGCCGCTGCTCAGTTGTTCGCCGCGTAGGGGCTAATGGGTGGCCAAATGGGTCGATTTTTGAACAGTGCCACCATAATGCCGACTACTTACTTCTTTTAGAAATCTCATAAAGATTCAATAGTGATGCAGTTGCTCATGGCACAAAGCTGCAGCTAAGTTCTGTGCTGTCTGCAACGTTAGAATACTTCTTATTTTCGGTTTTTGGAATACTTCAAAAATCGTCACATTTGGCCACCAATAATGAAGGGGGGAAGTGCGAACCAAAATGAATAATAACTCAAACATAAGCCAAGCTAAGCTAAATTATGATATTACCACACTGTTGGAGGTGCATACAAAATTTATTTTTTTATTCAAGAATTACAAACCGAATGCCTACAAGAATGTAAATCAAATGTTGTTCAACACACAGAAACACACACATACGCGCGCGCTAATGATGTGGCGGAAGAATCAAATATATGTATCGTTACAAGGCAAACTTAATAGGATCGTAAATTTAAATTATTTGTACGCCTAAGCTAAATTCTAAACTTTTAAGTCCAAAGACGAGACACACACCCCAAACCAGTTGTAACTATTTAGCCTGCCCAAGTGCATAGGTGCAGGCCAAAATATGTTTAGCCTAATTTAGTGTTGCGGGAACTATTCCGTTTTTATTGAAGGATAACTCATGACTTTTGAAACTCCGCGGGATAGTTCTCTATAGATACTTATAAATATAATTTGTTCCTTGCATAATGAGAGATACACACCGGCAACTATGCAACGTAATTCATGTAGTATTTATTCATTAAGTTCTCAATCTATTTATTTATTTTTGTTAATCATTCTTATCCACCGTGCACCCAGAATCCTTGTCATTATAATTTCATTTAACGTGTTGTATATTCTTTACATACATATATATATATATAAATATATATATATATATATTATATATTTTATTTGCAATTTCGTTATGCCATTCATACATACAAATAGGAATACAAGCATAGCACTGACCTAACATTACTCTAAGTTGTAGGCTCGATACTTTAGACTAAAGTATTTTTTTAAAACGATTCTTGCGATACCAACGACCCAAGAACAAACAACAACACACTAAACTAAGCGAAGCTAGACTAAGCCTGAAATAAGTTTAATCGATGGAAGACAATGATTTAAAATATATATATATATTAAAATATGTAATCTAAGACAAATAAGCAAAAATGAGTTGCACTTCTGTAAGATATACTTTAAATATAATAAAGAAGCAAAAAGCTACAAATTAAGCAACTCGAGTAGCCTACATAATGTATGATACAAACTCTAAAGCTAATATTACTTTACGAATATATATTAATAAATATATATATATTTATTATAAACAATAAAATACAATTTTAAAAATTTAAAGCAATAAAATATATACATTTTATTTATGATGGGTTTTCTTTTTGTGACAGGTAAATTCCAGGGTCCAAATAATTTCGGTATTTAATCATAATTATGTAAAATTAGCTTGGATTAAGTTTTAACTCTTTAATTTTTAAGTAGTTAATGAGAGGGGATTTGAAAGGAAAACGCTTTTCTTAGTAGTTCCTTATACTCACATTTTTCCAGGAAAAATTAAGGTAAGTAAATATGTATGTAGCATATTCAGAGCTAAATTTATTCACCAAACATTGCCCAATTTGTATTTATTTTAACCATATACATTGGACTTTTTAACTTTTATATAATACTATTTAAAGTCCTATGAGGAGAAAGGTCGCGGCTTTGGATTTTTCTTTGTCTGGATGGGATACATGGCCTGAATATACCAAACAATACCCCCAACGTGAGCCGTTGGTAACTTTTCGTAGCTTTCCATTATGGTTACGTTCGCTTTATAGAGGCCCAAAGGAAAAAAGTTCGGGAAAACCGATTCATTTAGATAGGCGTCACGTGCAAATAAATGTCCGGCAAAAGGGCAGCTATGATTAAAGTTTGAGAATTGCTTTGCAGTTTTAAGAATCATAACCCCATAAGGCATAAAGTTTCGTTTTGATAATATATCGCAGACTTTCAAGATAACATTCACAAGAAACGGCTGGTACTTATTACTATAGTCCCTTTTGAAGACTTGAAACTGAACCTGCAATAAAGAGATATTTTATAGATATATCTAAATAGGTTTTCCGAAAACCTTACTGTTATATTATATAAAGGTTTTACGAGATCCACATCCATTTGGGCCACTGCCTTGTTCCAATTGATAGCCTTTATAAAACATGAAGCATTGGCCGAATAACCAGGAACTGTTGAGCACTCGATATTTTTCAATTTGTAAATAACGGTGGGTTCACTTAACTAGCACATATTAGACTTTACCATTTAATAATTTTTTTTAATATAAGAATTTCCTACTCACAAGCATCCCTTTTAGGCAAAAACTAACTAAGGCTAGCACTAGGTAACGCATCTTTCTCAGTTGTGAGGCAAACCTTTCCAACTTTGTTTTCAAATGTAATGCTATGGCTCAATGGCTTTACGGTTTTAAATATGTCTCTGATGAGTTTTAATTATAGACGTTTAACATTCATTTGTTCAACATGAATGATTAATGAATTTTTTTTAACTTATAAACAAATTTAAAAAAACGCATTAGTCATTTTGAAAACTGAGAGAAAAGAAAATTTCGACGCAATTAGACACTTAAATTTTTGAAAATATAATTTTTAAGTAATAGTTACCATATTACAGCTTTTTCCAAAACGAATTAAAACGAATGACTTTAGAAAACTATACCTCAATGAGCATATATTTCAATGATGGCTTCCCGATTCGTAACATTAACAAACACTATGACTAAATGTGAAATTCGTTTAGGCATTAACAATTTTAATAGAGACCAGGTCCGGAGTCAGTATCGACTAGCATCTAATCACTGACGCGGGCATAGACCACGGCCGTTCGTGATGGTGTGTAGACCTCAATGAAGTTTGATCGGCCGGCGTAGCCTTCCGGATTGGAAGGATGCTTGCAGTTGGCATCGATGCGGTTGTGTCCACCGAACAGCGGATCATCCGAGGAGAGGATCGCTTGGTATGATCCCGCCCAGTTGGTGCCCACACGGTAACCGGTGAAACTTCTCTGCGGATGGAAGTTGAACACGAAGACCAGGCCGGCCCGCTCGAAGGCTATGATCTTGTCGCCCTCATGCTTCCAGCTGACCCAGGCGGGTCCGGAATGCAGCCACCCATAGCGCTCCTCGGCCTCGTTCATGGCCCGATCGAACTCGTTGAGGTACTTGTACTTCAGCAGATCGTCGTCTACTAGATTCCACTGCCGGCGAGCATAGTGATACGAGTCGTTGTTGCCGACACGCGGGAAATCCAGCCATTCGGGATGTCCGAATTCATTACCCATAAAGTTTAGGTAAGCCTCGCCTCCCAGGGCGTGGGTGATCAGGCGGATCATCTTGTGCAGCGCTAGTCCTCTGTCGATGATCAGCGAAGAGTCCGACAACGTCGACATGTGCGTATACATCTCCTTGTCCATCAGCCAGAAGGCTACCGTCTTGTCGCCAACCAGCGCTTGATCGTGAGATTCTGCGTATGCCACAGTGTTCTCCATCCAGCGGCGGTTGGTTAGCGTGTGCACCAAGTTCCCCATGTCCCACTCGTCGTCACTCTGCTCCTTCAGTAGCTCGATCCACTTGTCTGGAATAGCCATGCCCAGGCGGTAGTCAAATCCAATGCCTCCCTCCGAAACTGGGCGACACAATGTGGGCATTCCGGATACATCCTAATTAGGGTAAACAAAAAAAGTTATAAATTACATAAGTTAAAACCGAGGAATAGTACACTACTTACTTCTGCGATAGTGATAATCTTCGGGTCCAGACTGTGCAGCAGATGATTGGCCAGACCCAAGTAATTGAGGGCATCCGTGTCAACGTTCAGGCCGAAGTATTCGTTGTAGTCTCCGCTGAATCCTTCACCGATGCCTCGGGAGTGGTAGAGCATGGAGGTGACTCCATCGAAACGATAGCCATCGAAGTTGTATTCATCGTGCCACCAACGCAAATTGGACAGCAGGAATCGCAAAACCTCATACTCCACGTAGTTGAAGAGACGACTGTCCCACAGCGAGTGCTCTCCACGAGCTCCGTCGTGGAAGAAGCAACTGTTGGTACCATCAAACTGGTTCAGACCATCCTGCACGTTCTTGGAAGCGTGCGAGTGGACCACATCGAGCAAAACGAAGAGCCCATGCGAGTGAGCCACGTCAATCATACGCTTCAGCTGCTCCGGATTGCCGAAACGACTAGAAGCCGCATAGAAGCTGGTCACCTGGTAGCCGAAACTGGCGTAGTATGCGTGCTCCATGATGGCCATTACCTGGATGCAGTTGTAACCCTGACGCTTGATGCGTGGCACAATGCGGTCGGCGAACTCGTCATAGCTGCCGACTCGCGGCTCCTGAGAGGCGATGCCCACATGGCACTCGTATATCCTCAGAGACTTGGGTCTGGCCGGACCTGCATGCTGGCGTTGGTAGCGCTCATAAGACGGTGGCTCCCAAACGTACTGCTTGTAGTTTACACCCTGGTTGGCCGACTTGGGCGGTTGAACCACGTACTTGGCCCAGGGCGACAGGCGGTCCAGCAATTGGCCGGAATGGTTGCGAATGATCACCTTAATTTCGCTCATGTGCTTAATAGCCGGACTGCCATCTTCATTGGGTGGCAGGACTAGCTCCCACTTGCCAAAGTCAAGCTTTTTGAACGGGTGCGACTCCCAGTGCCAGTTGTCTGTGGGGTTAGGGTGATCAGTTAGACTTTATCTGTGGAGTTTGTGTAGAATACAACTTACTGAAATCACCCGTAAGGTAAACATCTCTGGCTCCAGGTGCCCACTCACGGGCAATCACCGAATTGTCCGGCTGGAAATGGAGACCGTAGTATTTGTAGCCCTGCGAGAAACCCTCCATACCGCCTTCGCTCTGGTTTATTTTATTTAGCCAATCCTGGAGAACGCCATGTCTGTAAAGAAAGATATTGAGATATGATTTTGATAACAGGTTCTTCTTCTGATTTGAAAATGCTAACGTTTTGAAGATGAAGGTTATTTTTAGAATAATTCACTGATTTTGAGAGTTCAGACTATTAATTAAAAATTTTTAATAAAAAAAATGTGTACAAACATTACTACTGTTTGATTCCAGCTAGATTGACTTTACTTTTAATGCTCCTTATAATGTTTATATATTATTGATATGTTTTACTGATATGTGAATATTGTTTGATTCCACACCTATTGACACAAGATAGGTTAATAGAGCAGAGCATCTACCTCTGATAACGAAAGTCCAGGGTCGAATCTAACCTGTGCCCTAAAAACAATAACTATTTTTCAATATTACTATGAAACATTTTTAAAGATCTAGTCTTTCAGATTTTTTATTTATATTGTATAAATTTTAAATAATTAAAAATTAAAAGCGGAAAATGTTAAAAAACATTTATTTGGAACCAGGTTGGGTTTTTCCATTTTTAAACCCTTAAAGTTTTTAATGTAAATCGAAAACAAAATAAACAAGAGGAAACGCTATAGTCGAGTGCCGCGACTATAAGATACCCGTTACTGTTTTACACAATTTTAAAATATTAATTTTGCTAGTGGAAATTCACAAGGCGCCACCTATTGTCAGAGGAAGTATGTTGAGTATGCTTATAGTGACGTCACTGCCCATGTGGAGCCTTATAACTTTAATTTCTTCATAAATAGCGAAATAATGTTCCGATTTGAAAAATCTTTGGTAAATAGATAGATATTAACAGAAATAAGTTATACAAGGTCAAACGAAGGCATTCATAATAATATTATAGACTCCACAGTTTTCCGCGGTTTGTGGGCGTTAGAGTAGGCGTGGCCGGATGCAACTTCGTGGCAAGTTGCAGAGGCATCTCCTAAATACGTGTTCCTAAGCAAAATTGTGTAGCTTTTAAAGTTTTCGAGATTTTTGCATTTTTGGTTTTTCGGGTTTTGTGGGCGTTAGAAAGGGCGTGGCGTGATCGGAAAAAAACAATTCGCATTGGGAGCATCATAGAAACATACATGCTTGATCCGAACTTTCTATCTCTTATAGTTACCGAGATATAAGCTTTTCTAGAAAATCCGAAAACCGTCTTTTGAGCCTTGTGGGCGTATGGGTGGGTGTGGCCGGATAGTAGTACCACTTTAAGATGCGCTGTCATCTAAAGATTATACTTTCTGAATTTCAACTTTCTATCTGCCATAGTTCCTGAGATTTCAGCAATTTTAGTTTTTTGCGATTTGTGGGCGTTAGAGTGGGCGTGGCAGGATGCTGTAATAAACTTGCGCTGTCCCGGGACCTCAAGAATCTTCATGCTTAATTTCAGCTTTGTATCTGCTATAGTTCCTGAGATCTCAGCGTTCATACGGACGGACGGACGGACGGACGGACGGACGGACGGACGGACGGACGGACGGACAGACGGACATGGCTCAATCGACTTCGCTATTGATCCTGATCAAGAATATATATACTTTATAGGGTCGGAAACGCTTCCTTCTATCTGTTACATACTTTTCAACGAATCTAGTATACCCTTTTACTCTACGAGTAACGGGTATAAAAAGTACACATCTGATCAGAATGTGTTCGACGCGAGAAAAGAAACCAAAACAAAATTCGCGAAAACGGAAGAGACGCCAAATCTTTGCAGTGGTGCAGAAATAGAAATGGCGCTAGCAGACGATTTGGGAACCCGGAAAATGCCACCAAGGCCAAGATCCATGCTCCAAACACGCCGGCAACACGCAGTGAACACACATCTTTAATGGTTCAACAAACACACACACGTACATAGACTAACTAGTATACACAGGCACAGAGGGCGGGTCGGCAAACACCGGCGACCTTCATTCGACATTGTGAACGCAGTTTTTCCAACTGCATGTCACCGGGCAAAACAAGAAGCTGATACGGCTGCAGCATGGTTTACGGGCAACAGTTGCCCTATAAAGTTACGCCGTACTCGCTTATCAGCATAGAGCCGCATAAAGCCGGCGCCAACCTTGGGTTACATGATGCGGTTTCATTTGGGAAACACGGATCTTTACTCACCGGCGACGGATCTCATGCTCAAACGGCCGCAAATAGCCATCTGTTTCGAACAGCTTCTCGATGTCCTTAACCTCGACCATGGCGGAGGAGAATGAATCCCCGAGAAGATTCTCGGATGACAAGGTAAACTAAAGAGAACAGAGGCGACGAAAACGTAGGCGCTGCTAGTTTGCCTGTTGACCGACAACTGTGCTCATCCATCAGCTGCAGTCCAACTCAAAAGCTCTGCGGCGAAACGGGAGCTTTTCAATGGATCAGCTGTTTTTGCAGCTTTGTCTTTTGCGCCCGGCATTCGCGAATGTAAACATCAAGAAGAGAAGTGCTGTAATTGCATGTTTTTGTCGCCAAAATGTTGCGTATTCGCACTGATAGCTGGGCACCTGGGTACATAGTACGTATACGCCCAATTGCCACTGATTACTAATTGCCGTTTGCTGACATATTTGAACCGGCATCGGGAACGGCATCGAAATCGAAGCGTTATGTGGAAAACATGATGATTTGGGGTCGTCGTTGTCAAGATCATTCGAATACATGAGTTTGAAAGTCGAAGGGTTATGATTATTATTTACAGATTAGTTCGCTTCTTAGCATCAGTTTTAATTATTTTACTATTTGATACTGTATGTCAAATTGCGTAAAAGATTTTTTATTTCTCTATTACATTTCCCAATGAAAGCTATCAAAGAAGTTGAGTCACATCATATTAGCTTTATCAGACTATTTAAAATCGTTCTCGGTTTCCAAGGCGTTAGAAAACACTCATGAAAAAGGCGTATACGAAGTAACCTTAAAAGTTTTATTTAACCACCTCTCTTATCTGAAACATAAAAACTTTGAAATTTTCCTAGATCTAAAGTTGTTATTAATGCAAAGCAATTCAACACCAAAGAGCAAGTGCAGCGCTATCAAATAGCTTAAATAAATCATACTGAAGTGGTTGTTAATTAAGGATTAGAAAAGGGATAGAGACTGCAGGCCTTAAAACTTAACAGAAAGCCCTTGTCGAAGAATCATATTTCCTTTTCCAAAGGGAAGGCTTATAGGACGGAGCTCGAAACACTCTCGATGACTTCAAAAGCAGTGGTAATGTCTGCTTCTTCTAGCAAACGATTTACGGCAATGCGAATACTGGGACGGACTGGTTGGCGCTCCCTATTCTGGAGGTACGCAGCCTGAACGACGGCCACTCCTCGAGCAATACACTGTGGAAGACAGTGGAAATAAATATAGTCTTTCAACATTACAAAATGAGTAGAAGTCTATACCTTATCAGCGATCTCTGTGAGCAATTTCAATTCTTGGTCAAAATTCTCGGCTGGCTGAGCCAGATACAAATGCTTCACTGGCGACAATTCACTGCCGCGGATGATCAGCTTGCTGAAACGCGAAAACTTCTGATGCAGCGACTTAGACTTAGCCTGCAGCTGCTGGAAGATTTTCGGTTCCCGTTCGAAGCGATCTAAGGCGGAAATAGCCGCCTGGGTAAGCATAGGCGGCAGGGAAGCCGAGAATATGTAACCCAGCCCAGAGAGTCGCTGGTGCTCGGCTATGAAGTGAGAGCCAACACAGAAACCACCGATGGTAGCCATGGACCCCTCCATTCCTGCAGAGATCAGATCAACTTCATCGCGCTGCAAGAAGAGCAATAACTATTTTACGTTTCCTTACAAAGTTCCCCACTTACATTCACATTAAAGTGCTCAGTAACTCCGTGACCACCCTGACCCAATGTACCAAACGAGATGCTCTCGTCGATAAACAGGCGCAACTTGTACTTCTGACGCAGGGCGACCAGCTCGGAAAGTGGACAAATTTCCCCAGTGTTCATATAGATGCCCTCGGCAACAAGGAAGCGTCGTGTCTTGAGCGCCTTTTTGGGGTTCTTCTGGTCTCGCTTCTCCTGTTCAATCAACAGGCGCTCCAGATCCTCAACATCATTGTGCTTGAAGAAAACAATTGTACTGCGCGAGGCATCCAGTCCCTTTTGAATGGCAAAATTAACAGCCTCATCTCTGCAAAAAAAATAGTCTTAAGGTGGGGAATAATTTAGAATAAGGTTTAGTATCTTACACAAAGATAATGTCACCACGCTTAGCATAAGCAGGAATGGCACTAGCCACAGTTGAAAAACCGTATGAGTACACAATGGCCTCCTCCAGACCCATGAACTTAGCAATACGATCCTCCAGGTCCAGATGAACATCCATGGTGCCATAGAAACCACGAGGTCCACATGATCCTACGCCATACTTGCGCAGCGATTTGCAGGCCTCTTCTAGAATTTCCTGGTCCTCAAGGAAGCCTAGATAGTTATGAGAGCCTAGGTTCAAACAGTCGTGTCCATCGACCTTGATGTGTTTGCCCACTCTAGACTGAACAATGCGAGTGCGCAGCAGCGGATGATTGGGATCGGTGTCTGCCACCAAGGGTTCTGGTTCATATTCGGCGATTATACGGTCTTCTTCCTCCTTTGTCAGCTGGCGGCGGCGACCTCCTCCACGCCTATGCAACAGCAGCCAAATCACGGTTATGACCAGTAGTGTCTCTAAAACGAGGGCAAAAGTAGGGGTCTGTCCGGGAAAGAACAAAAAATATGGTCAGTTTTAAGAACAGTAAGGGAAAAACCGAAATACAAACTTACATTTCGGAAAATACTACCGATTTCGTTAAACAACTGGATGGCCACCATTTTGAGAGTTCAGTTCCGTGCCCTTTCTGTGGAAAATCAATTGAAACCACCTTATTTCCTTCAAAGTATGTGTCATACAGACGACGCTTTCTTATCACCATACATATGGCCAATTACTTGTGCTACCATACGGTATGGAATTATTTCGGATAGGGTGTGTAGGCAAAGATAAATTCTTTTGTCTTCGTAAATAATAAATACATATCCCCTATTTCATAGTTTTCTTCATTTTTATTTTAATTCAGAACAAGAACTTACCTACAAAACTCTGCTAACTTAACTATATTTTAAGGTGTGATTTATCCGCCGAAACAGCTGATAAATATAATGTACTAAAAAATACCACCAATAGGATATTTTTTTGATATTATTTCAGAGCGATTTTGTAATCTTCCACACACCGTGAAATAAACGTTATGTTACCTTTTTGTTCAAAAATATCTTCACTATAAAAATAAAAAAAATTTTGTGGTTATTACTATTATTGTTATCATTATTTAGGTTTCCAAAATTAATACATGACTTTAAATTATTCATTTGGGATTTCTGGTTTGTCAACAAAAAAAATGCGATTTAATAATAAATAAATAGTTGCTCTTCAAAATGGATATTTTTAAATACGACAACTAAATAAACGAGAAACTCAGAAACTACCTAATAAATAAAAATAAATCAAAATCACAAAATAAAACAAAAAAATTCTCACATTTTTTTTTCCTATTTTAGATGTTTATCTCAATTTAATTTAGGATCTTTATATAAATATTCTTATTTATTTTTATAAAAATGAAATTATTAGTGTTGTATATAGTAATAATCATAATAATGTAATAAATTACAAATAATTATTTATTTTTTTTCAGGAATGGAAATAAAGTATCTAATAAAGCATTTAAGTTATGATTTCCCCTATAAAATATATTAATATCCCACACACAAACTGCGTTAGCAGTTTCTGGTTTCTAGTTTTTTTTTTCAGGAATGGAGATAAGTATGGTTTATTACCATTTAAGTTATGATTTCCCCTATAAAATATATTAATATCCCACACACAAACTCCATTTGCTTAATTCGTTTTCAATGTATAGATTTATTTGTTAATGTTTCTTCTCTAATGCTTTCCTTTCAATTGTTTGCGTTGATTGTAAAAAATAAAACAATAATGATAATAAAACGTTAAAACAAGTTGTACTGCCTAGATACGTAGTGCCAGATTAAAGACCGAGTTTCATTTAATTGCTTTGTCACTGTCAAAGAGAAAATGCTTTGTGGAAAATGAAAAGCGAAACATTAAACATTAATGCAGGTTCAATTTATAATGAAATAGCTAGTCTTCATGGTGCACAATCCATTTGTGGGTTAGGTATGAATTTTGATTGAGGGAAAGCCCTCTTAGTTGCTTGGTTTGGACTAGCCCAAACTGGCTAAACTAAGTTAATTTTGTTTTTAATGTTTGTTAATTTTTTAAAACTATTTTATAAAGTTTAGTTCCGATTTGTGGTTTATTCTCCTTCCGCGACAACGTAGAGGGGTCTGGGACTGGTGGAACAGGGGCTAGCACAATGCACTCTACTTCTTATCGCCCGACTGCGTGGAGTACGAATATTGAGACCAGTAATGATTGCTGGCACCATCATTATTGCCAGCGGATCCTCCGACATTGACGCTCGCACCTCCACTGGCACTACCGGACGCTGCTCCGCCAGAGCCTTGTTGCTGTTGCTAGAAGGAAAGTTAGACCTTTTTAGTATTTAGTTCTTGGCTTCATAAATCAAGACTTTTAGTTTACCTGCCACCAGGACATCCACTGCTGTTGCTGTTGCGGATCAGCACTCTGCCAAGCCTGTTGGTTTCCATAACCTGTTGTCAAACCATCAAATAAGTAAGTCGTTCTATAAAAGACGATCACAATACTCTTACTCTTACCCTGCATTTGATTATAGGCCCAATATTGTTGTTGACCTGCTGCCGATTGCTGAGGCTGTTGGTACTGTTGTGACTGCTGCTGAGTTTGCCAGACGCCCGTTTGCTGATGCGGCGCCTGTTGCTGCTGTTGGTGTTGGCCGTACGTGCTCCACTTGCCGCTAAGAGAGGCCTGCAGGACAGATATTAGTTAACCAAATATCAACAAAAAGACCATTTTCCATACACTTACCTTGCCTCCGCCAGGTGTTCCACCCGACTGTTGCTTGTACTGATCGTAGCCACCGCCGGCTGCGGTGTTATTGCCGTACTTGGGTAGCGATTGACCAGCTGACCGCTCATAGCCACCGCGACTATCTTCTTTGGTGTCGCGGTGGCCAGGCCGAAAATCCCGTTGTTGATGATTACCGCCCCCCGAACGATAGCTGCTCTGGCTGCTTCCCCTGTTGCGATCGTTACTTCCCATTCGACTGCGGTCGTTGCCGCGGTCTCGATCGCGATAGTCTCGTGAACTCCCATATCCGCGATCATCGTATCCACTTCGTCGGTTGTTCTGCATCCAGTTTTGCTGACCACCACCGCCGCCCCCGCTGCCACCTGTGTATCCACGGTTGCGATTGTCATAACCACGACCGCCGCCTCCACCGCCACCGCCATATCCGCGATCATCGTAGCCGCTTCTGCGGCTGTTCTGCACCCAATTTTGTTGGCCACCACTTCCGCTGTTATAACTGCGGCGGTTGTCGTATCCACGGCTTCCGCCTCCTCCACTGTTGCTAGAGTAACCGCCGCCACCACCGCCTCCTCCTCCGCCTCCACGTCTCGAATCGCTCCACCGACTTTCGTGCCGCTGACCACCATAGTCGCGTCGTCGGTCATCATTGTACCGATTCCTGTTGCGGTCATCACGACGATAGTTGTCACGACCCCCTCGGGATCTCTTGTCCCTCGATCTTTCTGCGTCGATGGCTTTTTTGCCCTTCTCGTTGTACTTCTTGACCTCACTCTTGGCCTCGTCTCCAGTTAGCTCCGTGTAGTTTATGTCATCAAACCAGCCAAACTCCAGCGAGGGAAGTGTGAAGTTGGCTGGAAAAAGATTGCGTGTATATCATTAATAAGGCTGCAGGACAAGCCAACTCTTTCGTTATCTTTACACATTAGTCATTATTGTAGAGGTGGAACAAGGGGTCAGGATGGACTGGGGTGGTGACTGGGCGTAAAAGGCATTTAGAAGCTTCCAAAAGATAAATTTAATTTAAAAAAGATTACAAAACTAAATTCCTTTCAGTTTGTAAACATTTGCAATTAAAAATGAAGCTCTTTTACGCACCAGTTGCCACGAAGATTTGTGGTTTTTTATAGAATAAATATTAATGAATATGGAAATAATAATCATTAAATTATGAGGTATTTTTTAAGGCTTACAGTTACAATTACGTACAGATACATAAAGTGCAGCTGCTTACAAACTAAATACTTTACATAACTTTTTATATTTTGTTTTTTACAATAATGTCTCCTTATTTAGATATGTAGAACATAAGTTATACGATCGTACATTATTCTGGATATGTTTTTTTTCAATTCGTTGCTTTGGTGTGGTGGACAATATTTACCTCGTAAGTTATTAATTGTTGATTCTTTAACTGTAAAAGCATTTCCCTTTTCCTCTTTTTCGGCGATGCGACGTTTCAATTCATCTTCGCTTGGTATGCAAACAACCGCAATGCGCTTGAAGTCGTTAAAACCCTTCATTTTACGTCGCTGGGCCGAGGCATATACATTGGTCTACAAGAATACAGTTGATCGGTTGGTTGGTTGGTGTTGTTTTGTTGATTTGGATTCAAATTTTGTCTGCCAGTTGTCGTTTGGTTGGATTGGATTGATTGTTGTTGGGAGATAGTCGTCGAACGGATAGCAAGCCATTTGAGAAACACGTTGATGATTCGGCACGGTTGCCAGGCGACAGTGTTGCAGTTTCCGCCGTCTCAGCCCGCTTAGAGCTCGAGTTCCGCGCTTACAAGCTAACACATACCTGTTGTACGGCGGGACACCCACTTCCAGCCCGCACTCGGCATTGGAGGGGTCTTATGGAAGGGGCGCGCACACCAACATAATACCTATTGTGGCCTTTGGATGGTTAACCCGGCCCACACATCTAACAACAGTTGACTTTTGAATACTTTGAATAAGGATAATATAATGTACAATGGGGTAAAAAGTAGTCGTGGTTGGCTGTGCTGCTGGCTGTAGGATGAAGCATCGCATAGCTCTCTGTAGATACACATACATATATATGAGATAGTTGGCATTTAGAGAGAGAGATAGAGAGTAGAGATAGTAGGTACTAATACGTATATGTGATTAGATTGTAGGCGAACGACTCGTCGATCGGATTTGTGTTTGTCTACTTACAGTGGCTTCCATGCCGCTCGCTCCTCCTTCATTTTACTCCCTTCAATTCCATTTCACTCACTCATCTTTCTCCAATGCCATTTCCATTTCCACTTTCATCCCCACTTCCTCTTACAATGCCCACTTAACTGCCCCGTCAACTGTTGCACCTGCACCTAAAACTTAAGCTTATGGGTGTGGTATGCCACATATACTTACTGCCTCAAACTTATGCACTCTAATTATCGGATCGACTTACAGTTAGGACATACCTGCCTACACAGTTGGTGCCCTTATTGGGGGCACTTGGGTTCTCTAGGATTTGGAGCAATGAGCAATTAAAATTCATACTCAAATGTACAAAACAAAATAATGTTTAGCAACTTAGTTGCACCCTGCTTGTGGATCCCAAGGGGATCAGAGCCCCAGTGTGATGGCCGGGCTCTCCAAAGTCATCATCAACGTATAATTCTCGCTTGTTTCGTTTTGGTGTTTGGTTATCGTTCGTTTATAGTGTTATCTTGTGTGTTTGTGGGCTGGTGTTTTGTATTGGTGTGTGTGGGTCATTTGTTTATGTTTTACCTGGTCAAGTATGAAATTGCGACGACGCTTCATGGCAATATCTTCCAGAGCCGCCAGGCTGTTTAAGCAGACCTCATAAACCTTGTCCCAACGGCCTTTGTGCACAGTCTTGCGGGAGACTCCATCGATCTGCAAAGAATGAAAATAGTATATTATATCTCACAACAATCCTTTAACAGTAGTTCAATGTTAAATTCAACGTACCGTCATCTTAGAAATGAATGAATCAGGTCCAATCAACTCATAACGCTTATCGGCGTTCTCAGTCACATGATTAAGAGCCCAGTGCGTCTTTCCGGCTCCGGGCAAGCCAACAAGCAGAATCACTTCGCACTCCTTGCGACTACCGGCGCGTTGTGGACCGGGAACAAGCTGTTCGACAGGCACTAGGCCGATTAGAACGTAGCCTTCCAACAGGGCAACAGTGTCCCTTGGCTCGGGAATTACATCCTCATATTCATCCTCGGTTGTCTGCGACTTCTCTTTATCCTTCTCAGATTCCGCTTTCTCAGAATCGCCATCGATCTTTGGTCGCTTATTGGGCGACGGACCGTCCTCATCTTCTTCATCATTTGCCTCCGAGGACTTCTTCTCCTCAGTTTCCTTTTCATCGTTGGCCTTTTCTGCAGAAGCATCGCCATTGGCCACAGACGCCGTTTCTTTCAAAGCTTCAGTAGAAGCCTCAGCTAAAAAAGAAACAGTAATTATGGATTTAAGGGGGTTTATGTCTTTTATATGTATACAATACATACCAGTTTCCGAAGTCTCGGTAGCTTCTTGTTCCGACTTAGGAGCTTCAGAAGACTCCGCAACTTCCGTTTCTACTTCTGTATCAGCTTTTGGGGCCGACTCAGCCTCTTTGGCTTTTTCTGGGCTTTCGCCCTCCTCTTCATCCTTCTCCGAAGAAGCCTTTCCATCTTCTTCCTTCTTCTCGACCTCATCATCGTCAGCTGTGGCTTCGTCCAAAACCTTCCACTTCTCGCCATCGTTGTCATCTTTATCGTCGTCCTTGTCTTCGTCTTTGCGTGGCTTGCGGCGCTTGCGTGTGGGCCTTTCGGCATTAACCAACAGCTGCTCGGCATCTGAGAAATTCACCGAGTACTCGTACCCCTTGGTTACAATGTGCGGGAACAGGGCACCATCTTCTCCCAGAATGCTCTTTTCAAATTCAAAAGCCACACCGAGATCCTCGCCATTCAGAGTGTAATTAATGGTGCATAGCTCACTCTCCAGGTCCAAATAACACCCAATAACATCATCCAGCTGGTAAGGTTTACCGTAGTCTGAAAACTCGCCCTTATTGGCCTTACGTCCGGTCTCACAGTAGCCGAATGAATTATCAGCCTCGCCTAGCAATAGGGAGCTCTGGGGCATTGAGAAACCCACACGAAAACCTCGCACATGCGGTTCATCACGAAAGTAGTGCGAGTTTTCTGGAAGCGATTCCTCAGCCAGACGCACCTCAAAGCAAACTTTGCCTTCGCGAACTCCGAAATTAGCCCTAGCTCCAGACCAAATCAGTGAATAAATTTCAGAGGAAAGTGGCTTGGCCGAGGCAAACGTGCTGGGATCAATACGTAAGTGTAAGTCGGAATCCACTGAAATAGAAAGACATAAATATTTTTGTTGTTATAAAACTGAAGAGATTGGTTTGTAGTAATTTAATTATATTAACAGAGTCGTTCTAAGGGGCTAAAAGAAAACAAACACTTACAAAGACCTAATACAAATTTATATTAATGCCGTAATAGAGTAGACTTTAAAAACCAGCCTGAGCTTAAGTTACTTTAATAAATCGTGAAACAGTAAAGGTTTCTTCGATTATACTTATGCTGGGCTATATATAATACGAAGCATTCGATAAGGAAAATCGAAGTGAAGTATAAACTATCTCCTTTAAGCTGCTTATTTGTGTTGCATTTAATAAGAACTGTATTATAATCATTATATGAATGCTAAATAGGAAGTTACTTACACCAGCTTAGCCCCACTTTGTTCTCCTCGATGGTGGGTTCGTCCTCGGGAACAGTGCGCTCCTCCGCGGCTGCCTTTGAATCACGTTTGTCGCCCACGCTGTTGCGATGCTTAGGTGAGCGGGAGTCACTGCGGGAGCGCGAACGACTGTGCGAACGTTTTCGTCGCTCCTGTCCCTGATCCTCCGACTTGGCAGCGGTACTAACCTCCTCCTCCGCTTTCGGGGCAGCCGAATCTTCTACGTCGACGTCCATTTTCTGGCTGTCACCATTTGACTGATGCTCGGCCGCCACACTGCTTTCGGCATCATTCTCCTCTTTTGGCTTTTCCTCTTTCGTCTGTTCTTGTACTTGCTCCTCTGGGGTGGCAGCATGGTCCTCCTCCATTGGTTCATCGACCACTTCATCTTGCGGTGCTTCGACAAGAGCTTCCTGTTCGAATACTTCTTCGTTGTCATGGTCTGCTTCTGATTTTTTATCAGACTCATCGGTCTGTTGCTCCGGCTCCACTTCATCTATCGCTTGTTCTGTGGATGTGCATTCTGCCTCTTCGGATACTGGTTCAGCTTCCTCCGATTCACTGGGTACTGGTTCCGGCTCAGGTTCCTGTTCGGGTTCAGGTTCTGATTTCTCCTCCGCCTGCTCTTCCTCTTCCAGGGTATCGAGCACGGGTTCTGCGGCCACAGAAGCAGCTTGCACCGGCGATGGAGAGCGAGACATGGAGCGGGTGCGACGCTGACGTCGGCTTGGTGTGACCGGCGCATTATCTGAAGGCGGGAAAACGAAAAGTGATTACTTGTATTATATAAGGAAAACTTACAACTAATTTACGCCGAGCCATAAACTCACACAAACGCATATAAATTCGGACGCGGCAAGCCACACACTCACATGCACATACAAACACAAACACAACGGGCGCACAAATGACGCATACACACACAAACTTACCTCCGTCGCCGGCTCCTCCTTCCACATATGCCCGCAGGCGCTCGACAAGCACCGCTTTGACTCCCTTGGTGTCCAGGCCGCGCGACTGGAGCTCGTTGCGCAGGTCTACCACCTTCATCTTCTCCAGCTTCGCCACATCCATTTTTCCGCTTCAACTGTGGATTGGCGGCAGAAGAATACACGCTCACTCACACACAAACACTAACGCACCGCTGAAAAGCTGGCGATGCGAAAAAAGAATAAAGAGGGAATTAAATGCCAAATCGCGCTCTCTGGCAAATGGCACTCGCGTTGAAAATGTCACCAAAGTCAACTAGCAATTTCTACTAGCACCGTCCGCGCACAATTAAGCCAAAATATTCGCTTTTACATTCGCATTCGTTGCGAATAAATAAATGGCCCGAAAATTAATAACGAACGCGTTGAAGTGAAGTTGGGTGCGCTGCGACTACAGGGCTGCAGTGCATAAGTTCGATACATGTGCTCTGTAGGTTATCGATAGCATACTGAATTACATTAAATCCAGATGGCGCTGTTGTGCATCAACATGTATTTGGTAATATTTAAATATTTGATAATGTCACAGCTCATATATAAGCTATTTAAAAAATGTATTGAAAATGTATTAAAGGGAGATTAAATTTCAATTACATTATTAGTAATAAAAGTTCATAAATCATAATACGTTGTATTTAGATAGCTTAGTGGTTGAATGCCATTTGGCTAAGTTGTTTGCAACGACTCCGTGGCGCAACGGTAGCGCGTCCGACTCCAGATCGGAAGGTTGCGTGTTCAAATCACGTCGGGGTCAAGTTTGAAGTGGGTTATTTTTACTATTTTGAATAGTATGCTAACTAAATGTTAAAAGAAAATATAGCAATTCCCCGATTCTATAACAATGTCTGCTCGTATACTTTAAATTGTTAACAAAACAACCTTAACAACAATCTTATCACGTTATTCAACCATAGCATTCCTTCTTGTTTTCGATTGCAAACCTTTAAAACAGAATATTAAATAAAATAAATGAAGGTTTATTATATTATTATTTTTATTTTTATTATATCCATTTGAAATTTTTGTTTAATGTCAAATATAATATAGTATCATAAAAAAAAAAGAAAAAATAAAAAAAAACTTGCATCGGCCGGGAATCGAACCCGGGCCGCCCGCGTGGCAGGCGAGCATTCTACCACTGAACCACCGATGCTTAGCTACGGCTTGACAAAATGTCAATATATGCTGCGGATGATGGAAATGCGAGGTCCAAGTAGCTTAAAGCCTTTTTTGAGAGCTAGAATATTTCCACGGACTGTTATAAATTAGTCAACTATTAACTAATTGTAATTATTTATAAGTCAGCAAATAATTCATGACTTTTGCTATGCATTATATCTTATTACAAAACTTGATGTAGTTTAGCCATCCCTCTTTGGCTTAGACAAATCACTGGACGTGTCATTTGAACCCCAGTCCTTTAAGAGTAGAGCTTGTACTTTAAGATTTTTTAACGCGTACTCGAAACAATGCTATTATTTTAAAATTTTCTTCACTACCTAATTCTTACAATTGTCCAACGAGAGAAATTTACCGTCTGCCCCCAGTAAAATGTGTCCATTTTTAAAAGTAAGTAGTAGTAGTAGAGTAGAGTAATTTCTACCGATACTTGGCTAGCATTTGTCTTTTGAGATCTTAACAGAATCATGATTAGCTATTTAAAATCATATAGTATAACAGAAAAAAATATAATAAAATTAAGCTCATGGTTCTTTCAGAACTGTAGGAGAAGCATACGTTGATTCATCTTTTCCAATCTTAACTCCATGAATTAGTTGAAAACAACTCAATAATTTGTTGTGTGTGTATGTATAGCCAAGCCATTTTTATATATTTTTCTTAAATTTTTCGATTACAGGTTATAGTTACAGCTAAAATGATTGCATTCGAAATTGTTTCGTTTCGGTTACACGGGGTATGCGCATATATATATATATTTAGCTAAGAATCTCTTTTAAATAGTAATAGGTTCTTTAATTGGGGTTTTCACATAAATATTTACATGCACATGTGCACATAGAATTCTAATAATTATTATTCATTATTATTTATCGCTTTCATTTTCCCAGTTCAGATCCATTTCTAAGGCTCGTCCCAAGCAACCGTCTCCAGCGTCGGAACTCAATCTTGTATCTAATTAAAGAAAGATTATGTCGCATTGATCAATTGCAATTGCTAATCGGGCGGTAAATACAGCAGATTACAACAGACTAATCGGAATATCAATGACATTTACAGCCGAATACAAATCCAATCAACACAACGATTAAAAGATAAACAAAGGCAAGCAGCAGAAGCGTTTGCGGTGGACAGCGACAATTAACACATGCACCAACGAATTAACACATCTGCGACATTTTCGAATTACGTAACAACTAAATAACTAAAGTAAGCTTTAATATCTAACCAGCACCCAGAAGCCCGTTGCATCATCCCGTCGGAAGTAGCGCGGCCGATTGTCCCTGAAGACGGTGACGGCGGGAAACTGGTTCTCCTGTATAAACCTAATGGTGGCACGCGTCTGGAATGGATTAATGATGAGGAATTAACAGGGGAATAATAAATTCTTAGTCTTCATTAAGCTGAAAAGAACTTAACAAAGCCTATTATAAAGTTAGTCTCTGCATCAAGATGGAAAACTGTGCAGATCTCAACCAGAAAGCTTTGAATGGAAACTTACCTGTGGCGCAAAATGGGGCGGCTCCACGTCGGGACTGGAGGACAGGTGCTGCAGCAGAAACTCATCCGTTTGGGAAAGCCACAGATCTGCTCCGCGCAACGGATCGTAATTGAAGGGTCCAATGCGAAGCATGCCCAGCGAGGAGTCGTATACATCCAGGACCTAATGAAATGGATATAAAATTAGCAAAGAGAAATTTTGGGTAAAATCCTTAACTTACCGACTGCGCTCCCATGAATATGCGAGCATCTCGCAGTTCCCGGTCTGGTCCTCGATCTGGAAAGGAGGCCGGAAAGATCTCGCCAGTCTTGATGTTCACACCCACTCCGTAGATGATCGGGCAGTTGATCTCGCCGCGCATCATGGTGTTAAGCTCGCCCACACACGCCTGCGTCAAATCGATTTCGAGTAAGTGATTGTGGAATGATTCTGAAATGTGAATTTTTATCATGAACAACATGTACTACTCAAATACACAAAAATCTTAGATGAAAATGTTGTCCAAGGAACATTTTTAACTCACGCATGATGCTGAAGAATACGTCCTCGCCATAGCCCTTCGCATCCCGATAGCCACCAATCAACTGTAACTCAATGCGGCCCTCCGGATAGCCAACGGCCAGATCCTGAACCCGCGAAACCATGGTGCACACAGCCTCGTCCACGCCGCTGCCATCGAAGTGGGCCAGCGCAACAGCGCCAGATCCTGCACAGAATTGTTATGAATAAACCAGAGTTAATTAGCCAAATGAAACTAATTTATTAGGGCGAGAAAGGAGGATATTGGAAAGGGTTAGCTTACCCGAGTGTCGGACGACGACGATAATACAGGTGGTGGCATCGTCGGCACCGATGATGTTGACGTGCTTGTCGTGCGGAGCGGATGCGGCCATCTCCCTTTGACCTACGTAGAGCAGACCCACCGGACCCACAGACTTGGCCTGAATGGAGTGCAACTGCTGGGCGTAGTCTCTGTAGACGGGATGCTGAAGAAACAGGCTGTTGGTGTCCATGGGGCAGTCGTCCTGCAGTACACCATTCAGCACGAGCACCATCCTGGCTGTTCTTAATCTTCCTTTCGCTTTGAATTACTTGGAGTTTGTCTCGCGGGCAAGACAAGTAGCAGGCAACTGTAAGAGGTAGAGGAGAGAACACCGAATGACTTACAGAACTCCAATGGAGATGGGGATATCGTAAGTAACTACATTTTTACCGCACCACCGAAACCAAACTCAAACTGAAACTTCAACAGAAGCAGCAGCATAAAAATCAATTTACGATGCCTGGGCAAGCGTCCGAGATTTGCATGTTTGATAATAATTTCATGCAGTCGAGCTGAGAAATATGTTTACACCTCGATCCCTCCTCCTTGGCTGGGTCGTAAATTTAACCAGCTCTTTCGAACAGAAATGTGCAAATAAAAATGTCAAAAGCTGTGCGCCCGCGGCTGATTCGATTCCCTGCTCACCGGGCTAACCAACAATGGACACCCTGAAATTGGTTCGCAGAGGCGTGGCTGTGAGAGGGTACAGCGATTCTTGGGCTCTTGTTGAAATCTAATAAAACAATTAGAAGGCCACTTGAAGGGGGTCGGGTCATCAATTTACGGAGTGATGATACCCATTGCCCATATGACTGGTAATTGAGACAAACACCCCAAGTCACAGATGTCACACGAAAGTTAATAGCCATTAAGTGGCCGCCACCACGAATTAGCCACCAAATGAACAACAAATTTAATAGAATTTAATAATAATAATGCTCAGGCAACACCCTTCTGCCTTCCCCCCGCCTGCAATTGCAATGCAAGTTGAGTCAGTAATTGAATTATTTACCTACGGATGCTGCCTAGTTTCAATTAAGCGAAATAAAGACAGGTTAAAGTTCAAGTACAAGTGCATACGCGAGTACGAGTAAAAATAACAACGTCGTACGAGAGACTCATAAACATAAATGATTACATGGACAGCAATAACAATTGTCAGAGCTAATTCCCGAAGCAAAATTCGTTGTCAGTTTGCCCAAAAAAAAACCAAAAACACAGAAAAAGTTTAACCAAAATGCAAACAAAGCCCCAAAAGAATCCCCCAGCCAGGAACAACACTATTAACGTTTTTTTTCGAGGCGGAAAACAATGGAAAACATTGTGGAAAAATCAAACAGCAAAACGTGAAGAGCTAGCTCTGGATACTGGCATACTGGATGCTGGATGGCTGAGGAACCCAGCTAGGATAGCAATTGTTATGCCGGTCTGCGGCCTGGTCTTGCCTGGAAGCAATTTAGCCGCGATCATGCATGAATCTTGATTAGATATTCAACGAGAAATAATTTGAAAATGATGACAGTTGGCGATAGGCGCGCTCCACTCTCGAAGCCAAAGGATGGATGGTCGCAGTGAGAGAAAAAGTTTTTATGAGATCGAGAAAAATACTTTTTTAGATGTTTATTTGCTTTATAACTATTAACTGAGGTTTAATTTACGTTCATCTAGTTTATACTCCAAGCACATTAACTATACTTTAAATATATTTAGTACGGTATGAGGAAGTTTATTGAACAATTATGATCTTCAATCAAAAAAAGATATAATCTCTTTATTTATAAATATAATTTAATCTTCCAATACTTTTATCATCTTTGTATAAAATGCAGACTCTAAATTTAGTTCCCTTCTTAATTTTTTTATCTTTTTAGTATAACAACTGAAGAACAATGTCTA